GTGATTTTGATGAATTTAGACATTGCATTTTTAACGCTTATAAAAAAATTTCATTATGTACATTAGTACCTTTTTTTGATATTTTTTTAGTTACAATAAGTTGTGATTAATTTTCAATCCTTAGCTTTAGGAATTGAAAATRCTATATACATTTGTAGTTAAACTRAAAAATAATTTCCGAATTTTCGAGGTTTTGTCAAAACTTTAGGACACATTGATTTTATTAGTATAAGGTAAAATCTATTAAATGATTAAGTTATACTAATTATTGTATTTAAATGTAGTACCTATAGGTACAAACCAATTAACTAGGTATCTAATATTTATAATATTTTACTGTACGGAATTTAAAAATACATTATAAATATATAAAAACTACCTTCTCTTGAGTTTATTATAATGCATGACGTGTTAATGTGAACTGTGAAAGAGTTTAATATTGGTTCACATAATACACTTATAACACATTTAGGTAAAATATACATTAATGTATTTTTAATTTTAGTTGATTCCATAATCAAACATAAATCACAAGAGATAGTTGAGTTCAAAATACATCACTATTTGTTTGATTGTTTCAATATTATTTATGGAAATTGTAGATCATATTCAGTGTTTAATTTAAATTGTATTGTGTTTATGACAGGTACTTAATGTTTTTACAAACCATTTGATAAATGTATTATTTTCCTGTACAAACATGTATTTAAAATAATAATTGTTATTATAAGGTTTTTTTTCTCTGTCTGAAACACACGCCACATGCGAATAATAGAAAATAATTTCGCAATAATCAATAAGTAGTCATTCAGACCGGTAAGCGGTAAGTATAGAAAACACGATAGATATCTAATACGTCAAAGTTATATTTGTCAGAGTTATTACAGTTTTATAATTTTGGTAACTCGATTGGAAAGTGTTATATATTATTTCAAGCCTTACATAAGATAAWATAATTGTATAAAATATATATATTTAATTTTAATCTTCATAAATTATATCATATAGGAGCTATACCTACCTACTAAACCAACAATAAAAATAAAATTAATAATAATAAAATGGCTGTAGCCTGTAGTAATATATATTAGTGTTTATAATTTATAATATATTATATTAAATAACGACATGGACACTTAAACATTGGAAATTTTACTTGTGCATAGTACCTAGATATTATTTACGCTATTATAAATAATTATATACGAAATCCAAATAATCACTTTACATCTATAATGTGTCTATTGCCTATACGTATACCTATAGTACCTATATGGTATTAAATATTAAATGTCTTATGATAGGTATAAGATATACCTACTCTGACTTAGATGTTATAGAAATTTGATTGTATTGATATTCTTTAATATATAACTTACGATACATTAAATTCGTTTGATTTTATATTATTTTCCAAAGGAAGTGATTTAACAACAGAAAATTCACTTATCTTATAGATTTTATTTCATCACGTGGTATAGAATAGGTATTACAATATTGCTATAGATGTTTACATGTCAKCTATAAATATATAAATATTAATAATGCTGGTAAAACGAAAGTGAAATAGAGATTAATTATTAACTATAAATATCATCATAATATTGCAATTTATCTTGGACTTTTTTTACTCGTATATTTTAAGTCGTATATCTAGTTTTTATTGTTTCGTGCATTTAAGCCAGTCTTTAGACTACATATTATGAACTTGGTAAMTTTTACAGTTAGCTAATAACATGAAAAACAGTTTAAAGTATTATTATTTATTTTCATGTATTTACTCAAGCTACTTATTACTGAAATATTTTTTTTAGAAAAGTTTTGGGAAATTTAAAATTTTTGAAACCGATAACGATTAATGAATGCTAATCAACGGTCAATATGTAAATGTTTGTGAAAAAATAGAAAGTATGACGAATATGATGATAAGTTTTTGGAATTACATTTATTATGATTAAAAGCTCTCAATTCATTTGGTGCAAATGCATAATGCGATTATGCAAATACGTTAACTTTTATGCTGTCTGCGCCGTTATAATCCATGCTGGCGATAAGATGTCAAACCTTATAATGTTGACTATTTATAGAACTTAATGAACCTATATAGTAGAATGTTAATTGTTTATCAAGTTTTAGCTTCCTAATCAGCACACAGATAAGAATTCTTCACAGAATCCTGTGGTCAACACGATAAGCGTTATCATCAATATTATACTAAATTCACAATATTATAATATAGATAGTATATATATATATATGAGTATTGAGTAATTTATTTTTGTTTTTGTTTCTATATATGATGTCTGACTTATAATAGTTCTCATTTGTATAAATTATCTATTTATCTAACTTTAAAAATTCATTTATAAATATATTACAAGAGGTAGGAGTGAACTAGGTTACTTATATGTAGGTACTAGGTATATAGCTTAATATACATGTGTATATCTGACTACGATTCAATTTTTTTTCTACCTCGAGTGCGTAGATAGAGTTTCTCATTAACCTMGCGTTTTCCAATATTCAATTCGAGCACCCATTTAAACAGTATAAAGTGTAGTGATATACGTTAGCAGAACTCAGCTGAGGTCCCTACAAGATGACGCTCATAGAGCTACCCACCCGCAACATCCGGTTGCCCGTTTCAGTGCAAACCGCAACAACCGGTTGTACACAACTAATCTGTATTCATTCACCACGACTGRGCCCTACGTACTACGACTGCAATATCACTCACCGGCGGCGCCGAAAGTCTCTTGAGGGTCGGGCCCGACATGTCCACCGGAACGGCGTCGATCCTATTCGGAAATATCCGGCGCACCTGCCGCACGGAGTACTCGCCGAGGAACAATCAACAGCGCGACGACGCGAACGCGACGGACAGTAATAATKATTATATCGTTGCGATATCGTGTGCGAAAAAAATTCGTCTGGACTGCGCCGGAAACGATTATTTTCGATTTAGACAGTAGTCGACTGCAATAATGCGACAGCAGCGTTTGCCGTCCGAGGGATGGAGAGGGGCGCGATGTCGTCTTACGCGAAAGCACGTCGAAACGGGTGTGATGGGCGCGAAGTGCGAACGCGCAGGAGACGCGAAAACCGCGGAAAACCGGTGGTGGCGGTCCGGTCCTCGCATCGCGTTTCGGGGGAGACATGCGCGCGCCGCTCGTCGCCCCCTCCCCCATCCATATTGCGATCGATACGACGACTCCTCGCCATTCGCCAACCGCACCTCGCCGGCAGACCGGTGACCACGGAATGTATAATTAATAAATGTTATTTTATAGTATTCTTTAAATTATTATTATGCACGTATAACTGGATTTCTAAAGGTCATCCGAACACATTATTACTATTGATAATACTAATATACATAATACAAGCTGTACAATGACGGTGATGTTGGTATGTTATACTCGTCTCGTACGTCATGACAACGTTGGTACCCATCCACGGCGATTCTTTGCAATCGGAATAATATGTAATAACTCATTATTATGTTCATAACAACGAGCAAAAATATTATTAATGATTATTATTATTATTATTATTATTATATTAATCATTTTTATTCGTGAAACCGGTCCCGGACCGCGGTGCGAACAAAACGACTAGCCGCCGACGGAGACCTTGCACGGATTGCCGAGAGTGCGG